AATGCCCAGCTATTTTTTTGTTGCAATTGTCATTGTTGTTTAGCTGGCCCGGGTCAGGTTCAAACCTGTCACCCTTGGTACATCTGGCTGGCGCTGTAATCACTGTGCTACGGGCATCGAGCCTCTAGTGTGGTCTTTTTACTGAGATAAGAAAGGCTCCTCATTGCCATACTGAGTCTCCACATGTTATATTTGTCCCTAGAAGGAGCCTCCCATCTTATTTCTCCACTTAGACCACCACGGAACCACATGTCCACATTGAGCTCCCAGAACTCAGTTCTGCAATTTTACTTCTACATTAGATCCCCAGCATGACATTCTAAGATGGAAATTCCCCAGATGAGCTCCCTGGCTTGGACACCCAAAGTGCCCTCACTAGAGAGGGCTCCAGGTAGAGGCCCTTTCATCAGCTGTGTATCATTGGGCAAGCTGTCCAGACTCTCTACCTCAGATTACTCATATATAGAATGGGGGTGATAACATAACCTATCACAAAGGGTTGTTTTGTGAATAATGAGATAATCCAGGTAAAGCTTTTATTTGTTTACTTATTTTTTTGAGACAGAGTCTCACTATGTTGCCCTCGGAAGAGGGCCATGGTATCACAGCTCATAGCAACCTCAAACTCTTGGGCTTAAGTGATTCTCTTGCCTCAGCCTACCAACAAAGTAGCTAGGACTACAGGTACCTGCCACAACGCCTGGCTATTTTTTTTTTTTTTTTTTGCAGTTGTTTAGCTGGCCTGGGCCAGGTTCGAACCTGCCACCCTCAGGTGTATGTGGCTGGTGCCATAACCACTGTGCTATGGGCACCAAGCCAGGTAAAGCCTTTAGTACAGTACCTGGCACATGGTAAAGGCTCAATAAAATGTTAGCTGTTTTTATTGTTGAATGCCCTGGCTATTGCCCCCCATACTGAATTCCCTTAAAGTAAGTCCTAGGATTGAGCTTACCAAATTTAGCTTCCTGTTTTGTATCAATCTCAACCCTATCTGAGTCCCAGAAATGAATATCAGACCTTGAATTTGGCTGACTGAGCTCCCCTAAGGGAGTGTGCTATACAGAGCTCCCCACATACTGAGTCTAAAGATGAAACTCCCAGAAAGAATTTTACAATTTGGTTTTCTGAGCTGTTTAGAATGAGAATCTTTGAATGAGAATTAGCCTAAGATGTGCCCATTCAGTACCCCAGCCCAAGATCCTAAGCTGAGCTCCCTATATTTTATTTCCCAAACTAAAATCCCAGGCTGAGCCTCAGAAAGTAGCTCTAGGTCTGAGCCACATTGAACCATATCTCTGGTTCCCCAGACTGACTTGCCCACTTTTTACCTCCCAAATTGAACTCTGCAACCTGGACCCAAGACTGAATTCCCCAAACCAGGCTAGTTGAAACTCCTGTCCTCAGCTGCCTACACTAAGCTGAAGATTAAACTCCAAACCAAGATCCCAGATGGCTCAGCCTGGAACAGGCCCCACTATAACTTCCAGACCAAGCTCCCAAACTGTACTCCCTAGCCTGAGCTCCTAAGTGAAATCCTAACTGACTGAACTCTAAGACAGAACCTACAGACACTGGAAATGCCAGTCTATACTCCACATAAGGTATCTCCAGACAGAACTCCTCATAGCAAAGCCTATAGTTTGAGCCCAATGGCATACTCCAACCTGAACCATACGCCTACATCTTCCAGAGTCTTCTTCCTAGCCCCTTCCCTGGGTACCACCTTTCTTTACCACCCAGCCTGACCCTCACCCTGGGGTGAGAGAGATACAGAATAAGTGGGAGAAAAGGCAGCTGGGAGATCAGCCTTACCCCTGATGCCAACTCTGTTGCTCCCACCCCAGCTAAACAACCTAGGATGGCTACCTTCTGAGTCTTGGTTTACTCACTGGACAAATGGGGCACAATCACACCTATCTTATAGGGTTGTCGTGTGGATCAAAGGAGCTAATTTATGCAAAGCATCTGTTGGGGAGCCCTGGAGAGTGTATTGAGACCTTGGCCTCATTTTAGGGAGCTCTTAGTCTACTTAGGGGTACAGATGCAGGTATATGAATGTGCAACGACCACAGTGTGACTAGTTGGACAGAAGGGAACCCACATAGGTCTTAATCCAGACTGGAGGTTCGGCGCCTGTGGCTCAAGTGGCTAAGGTGCCAGCCACATACACCTAAGGTGGCGGATTTGAATCCAGCCCGGGCCCGCCAAAACAACAATGATGGCTGCAACCAAAAAATAGCCAGGTGTTGTGGCGGCCTACTTGGGAGGCTGAGGCAGGAGACATGTTTGAGCCCAGAAGTTGGAGGTTGCTGTTAGCTGTGATGCTATGGCACTCTACCCAGGGGGACAGCTTGAGGCTCTGTCTCAAAAAAAAAAAAAAAAAATCCAGACTGGAAACTCTTGACAATGAGCTGAATCCAGAAGACTAAGTGGTAGTTGCCCAGATGAAGCAAGACTGAACATGTTTAGGTAGGTGCACATGGAGGAAGCTGGAGTGGTCAGCAGAAAACAGACAACCCAGAGTTTTAAATGACAAGTTAAAAGGGCTAGGTCTTTACTCTGCAGGCACAGGGGAGCCATAGACAGATGTGAGTGAAGAAGTGACTTTCAGCTGTGTGAGAAAGCCCCTTTTCTGGCAGCCAGGGTAGAAGAGAGATCAGAGATTAGAGCCTGGTACCAGAAAGGCATGTGGAGGTCTGAGCTGGGAGAGGAGTCACAGGTCTTCCCATACACCAACACTTTGTCATGGAGAGAGCATCTCCTCCTTGGTTTGCCAACCAGTATGAACCTTCTTCAGAATCACCTATGCTCCTCTAGTATTGGGGCATCTTCTGAGTGGAAACATCTAGCATGTACAGAGTGGAATGCAATGAAACTGCAGCCAGGCATTAAGCATGACTAGGACTTGTTTTTTATTTTGGATTATTATAAGGGCACATACAATTGGGTTACACTGTTTGCATTTGTTAGGAAGTGTCCAAGTTGTAGTTGAGTCCACCCAGGTGGTGTGCCATATACTCCTACATTGTACCCGTTAGGTGGCAGCTTACTGAGTCCTCTCTCCCTTTTCCTCCTCTTCCCCCATCTCCTTTACTTGAATTTAATTAAGTTTTTCCATGAGTGAGATTTAGTCAGTGTGTGAAAATAATATACAGAGCTTGGTATGGTGGCTTTCACCTGTAATCCCAGCATTTTGGGAGGCCAAAGTGGGAGGATCACTCGAACATGATTTCAAGACCAACTGGGCAATATAGCAAGACCCTTCCTCTAAAAAAAATTTTTCTTTTTGAGACAGAGTCTCACTTTGTCATCCTGAGTAAAGTGCCATGGTATCATAGCTCTCAGCAACCTCAAACTCTTAGGTTCAAGCAATCCTCTTGCCTCAGCCTCCCTAGTAATTGGGAACTACAGACACCCACCACAACGCCCAGCTACTTTTAGGGCGAGTACTAGGATTATGAGCATAAGCCACTGTGCCTGGCCTCAAAAATTTGTTTTTTAAAAATTAGTCTAGTCTTGGAACCTATAGCTGAGCAGCTGGGGTGCTGGCCACATACACCAGTACTGGTGGGTTTGAACCTGGCCAGGGCCTGCTAAACAACAATGACAACTGCAACAAAAAAATAGCCAGGCCTTGTGGTGGGCACCTGTAATCCCAGCTACTTGGGAGACTGAGGCAAGAGAATCACTTAAGCCCAAGAGTTTGAGGTTGCTGTGAGCTGTGACACCATGGCATTCTACCAAGGGCGACATAGTGAGACTCTGTCTCAAAAATAAATAATAAACAGTAGTCTACCTGGCCGGGTGCCGTGGCTCACACTTATAATCCTAGCATCTGGGAGGCCGAGGTGGGTGTATTGTTTGAGTTCAGGAGTTCAAGACCAGCCTGAGCAAGAGTGAGACCCTGTCTCTAAAAATAATAGCTGGGCATTGTGGCAGGCACCTGTAGTCTCAGCTACTTGGGAAGCTAAGGCAAGAGAATCACTTGAGCCCAAGAGTTTGAGGTTACTGTGAGCTATGCTGTCAGAGCATTCTAGCGAGGGCAACAAAATGAGACTCTGTCTCAAGGAAAAAAAAAAAAATTAGTCTACCAGCCTGAGCAAGAGTGAGAGCCCGTCTCTAAAAATAGCTGGGTGTTGTGGCAGGTGCCTGTAATCCCAGCTACTCAGGAGGCTGAGGCAGGAGGATTGCTTGAACCCAGGAGTTTGAGGTTGCTGTGAGCTAGGCTGATGCTAGGACACTCTAGCCTGCGCAACAGAATGAGACTCTGTCTCAAAAATAAAAAAAAAAAAAGATGACAGGGTGGCATCTGCAGCTCAGTGAGTAGGGCGCCAGGCCCCATATACCAAGGGTGGCGGGTTCGAACTCGGCCCCTGCCAAACTGCAACAAAAATTAGCCGGGTGTTGTGGTGGGTGCCTGTAGTCCCAGCTACTTGGGAGGCTGAGGCAAGAGAATCACCTAAGCCCAAGAG